ACGAAAAAAAAAATGTAACCCCCAAATTGCCCTCTTATCCAACCTTCACCATTTTACATCAGTGTCACCCATTTATTAAAAAAATCACCAGTAAATCTTTAATAGAATAATGATTTTAAAACAGAGTCGTTAAATATAAACCCCTTTTAGTAAATTCTGATAAAAGCTGATGAAATGTATAATTGAAAATTTGCGAATTCAATAACGCATTTGGTTAAAATTCAATTATTAATTTTGAGTTAAATTTTAATCACCTTTTTAGCCGAACCAAACATGTTAAAATATAGATACACGAAATCGTAAATTATTACGTTTGGAAAATAAATTGTGTTTTTCATTGGTGCCAATTGTCTCCATATGGGATATTTAATGATAGGATATTGTCTAAAACTTACATATAAAATTGATCATAAGTCATCTCTACATGCATGAAATTATTGGATCTTCATTTACAGTCTCATAGTTAGCAACATTAAATTAAATTATTAATGTCAAAGCTCTTATTTAAAAGTCAATTTGTAGTTTAAATTATGTTTGTTGGAAATTTGGCATACTTTGAGAGGGACCGGCTTATTCTTTATGGAAGATCAAAGCAGATTCGTATTTTCCTCTGGGAGAACATCGAAATCATTTATTTACTTCTCCAAATCGATACTTGGTTAAGAAATTGAAGTTCAAACTCATGGACCCATTGGAAGTGGATTAGGTGTTGGGGAAAGCAATTGTCACTTATCTTACAAAGGAAAAATGATAAAAATATTCACTAATTTATATACGACAACATTTGATGAAGGTGTAATCACATGTAACATAAAAACTCTATCTATGTACGTGCGCAAGGAGTGTAAATCACGGACCAGATAGCACATCGGATCATTAAACCCATGTGCTAACACGAGTACGACCTGTTGACATGTATGCTTGAGTGTACTAAATGTACCACGAGACATGTTTTAATAAGATGAAAACTAAAGTTAAAAGCTTATATATCTAATGCAAAACATAGTCAATACATAATTTTAAAAGTTAAAATAACAATTGTTCGAAAGTGAAATAGATTGATTTCGTCGTTAAAAAATTAGGGTTTTTCCTATTAATTAATATTACATCCGACCCATTTGCATCAATTCATTAGTTTAGAGATGGATATACAACACCATGCCCACCAACTAACAATGCCAAACGTTAGGCGTTTTCTTTACTCTTAATTTGAATACAAATATATGCCAAATTTTGTTTAAACACAGACAATATAGTGAATTCGTTCTTGATTTTATACCTATAATTAATTATAAATATTAGTATGCATTACTGGTGTGGGTCTATATGCATAAATTTCTGCTTTTCAGCAGAAATGAAGCCGTTGGCAGCAAAAATGTAGCCGTTGAGAGCCGCAAAGGTGGACCAATTCTCTCACTGTAGCTTTATAGGTTTGAAAAAAAAGGGTAAAAAAAGTGATTTTCTTTCCTCCTTACAGCGCGACCAGACGGCCCAAAGATGAAAACTAAAGTTAAAAGCTTATTACATATCTAATGTAAAACATAGTCAATACATAACCTTAAAAGTGAAAATAACAATTGTTTGAAAGTGAAATAGATTGATTTCGTGGTTAGAAAATTAGGGTTTTTCCTATTAATTAATATTACATCCAACCCACCCTATTTGTATCAATTCATTAGTTTAGAGATGGATATACAACACCATGCCCACCAACAATGCCAAACGTTAGGCGTTTTCTTTACTCTTAATTTGATTAAAAATATATGCCAAATTTTGTTTAAACACAGACAATATAGTGAATTCGTTCTTGATTTTATACCTATAATTAATTATAAATATTAGTATGCATTACTGGTGTGGGTCTATATGCATAATTTTGTCAATTTTTTTGACAAATGAAGACGAGTATCTTTGTTTTTTTGTAATCATTAATTACTTTTTTTTTTTTGAAAAATGATCACTTAAAATAATGATGAGTTGTGATTCATTGGCACTTATAAGTTGCGTGTCTTACACGAAATAATCGGAGTAATACAATTTGGATTCATTTCATAGAGTTTTTGAAAAGTCGAAAGTTATTTATGACATTAAAAAATTATTTTCGAACATGTTTTGGTAATTTTTAAGAAGTACTTTATTTGGTTAAAATAATTGATCTGATTTAGCTTCGTCAAAAAACTCTTTTACAAAAAGAAGCAGCAAAAGTTCTTCCAAACGAGTCCTTAAACAATTCGCCGACGCTCTAAATTATGTATATGGTAGATTAGCATAAGAATTTTTTTAAAGAAGTAAAAAGGGTGATTGAATTATTTTAGTTATTATGTAGTGTTACAAACTTGATCATTAGACGGTCGATAAATTGTGCTCCACTTAGCCTATGTCAGGTGACAATTAAAATTATATTTTTAGTAGATTTTAATAATTGTTGATGAAATGTGTGATTGAAAAGTAACGGGTCTCATAAAATGTGATTAAAATTAATTATTGACTTATATTAAATTTAATTTCTACCAAACAGGGGGCTAAGTATTTTTTTACTATATATATTAGATATTTTAATAGATATTTACTTCAATTTGATCCATTAACTTTATAACTACTTACATATTTTAATTGGTATGGCCTAATCATGTTTTAATTTTATAACTATTGCATCTTCTAGGACTCCATGTCGTTTAATCTATTTTATGCATTAATTCTTTTTTATTAACACCAACTTTTATTATTAATTGATTTTTTCGTTGTTGGTGCCAAAATTTGGTCAACGGGAGTAAGATTCTTTGAAAAATAAGTTTAAAATCCGTAAAGTCATAGCGATTATCTATTTCTTTTATCTTAGTTATGAGCTTCTTCAGGTCCTAAATTGAGTTATTTAAGTTTATTAGGGCTCAAAAATAATTGATGAAAGATGAATTTTTCATAGTTAAAAAGTCATTTTCGATACATAAATTAATCATCGATAAACAATTATAATCTAGTCGAGTTGACACCGTTGCTACTTGGCCATCATCCATCGTCATGAGCGATTTTATTTCTCCAAATGACTATTTAGCCCTTCATCAGAGTAATTAATAATTTTTCACACTTCTAAATCAATCAAGAAAGAGAAATGTAACAATATTTGTAAGTTTTAGGGTTACAAGGTCACATGACCCTTTCCCAAAAAAGAAAAACCAGAAGGGTCACCCTTTTAACGTACTAGACCCATCACCACTCGAGTCATTGTTCGAAATGGCTAGATTTTTCATATACTTACACTAAGGTCTCATTTGACAAGATTTCTACTTTTACTTTTTGTAGAATATTTTCGTTTAAAAGCTCTTTTAATCAAATAAAATAATTTCAGATTATTGTCAAACATGTTCAAAATCAACTTTTGACTTTTCAAAATCCTTCCAAACAGATTCTAATTCTCAGTCACGATTTCATGTTTAATTAGTTGAACCCTTTCGTATAGTCGAGCTTATTATTAATACTATGTACACTTTGAATTCACGCACGTTCTCGTAGACGAGTCTAAAAATTTTTGATAATAAGTAAGGCTGAATTTGAGGAACACTTTAGAAATCATTTTTTACGTACAAAAGTATATCTATTCGTTATTTCGATTTGACAATTTGATTGGAATCTATTTGTTGAAGAAATGGATGTAGGGCTATTGGTGTGCCCTATTTGGAATGGAGGGTCCCTATCCATTTCATCAATTTCTTTGGATCCTTTCTACATTCTTTCCCAATCTTGACATTACTTACATACAACAAAACATATCAACAACTATCACGGATCTTAATGATCGGCAAGTAAGGTATTGTTTGAAAAGATACAACAACATATTGTCCCATTAGCATAAGCAAATTCGAAATTGGGCGCAAATAATTCCGACGGAGGACTTATAGAATTGCACCATTTTGTAAGGGAAAACTCGCGATGGCCATAAGAACTAGCTCATCTTTCGATTTTATTTAAACCATTGGTGAAAAAGAATAATGATGAATGTACACCCTTGGTGTATATTCATTTTGACACTCCCCTCAGATAGGGAGTGAGGCCCGCGTGAGACCCGCAATCTCGAGCCCCACCCCATGTGAGGGGAGCGTCAAACTTGATGTACACAAAAGTGTACATCAAGCATTGTTTGGTGAAAAATGTAACGAACTAAAAATATCTGGAGCTTGATAAAGTTTTTCAAAAGGAAAAATAAAAGAAAGAATAAGAATTACGTAAACGTGTACAGTGTAGAAGCATCAATTCAACCAAGTCAGATACCGTAAATATAAAAATATGCATCACATTTCCATGGTATAATAAAATGCATCTATTTATTTATTTTTATCTTTCGAATCCGCATTTACAAGTTTACAAAAGAGAAAAATAATAAATAAAAATATCAAAAGGGTAGATTTGACAATTCACACTCTGTTACCTAAGCACAGACAATCCATAATTATTTTAAGACAAAAGTTTAATTTAATATACGATTAAGGGATCTTAATTTAACACTAAGAAGCTTCCCTTTGATTATTTTTAATTATTTAATAATTTATTCAAACAGTTTTCAATAAATATAAATTATATAATAATAATAATAATGTCACACCTCCTCATGCTCCTCTTGACAGATAGAGAGAGAGAGAGAAACAGAGCATATACATACATAAACATTATTGTATCTCTACTTCAGATCTGCCTTCTTGTAATTTCACTTGCGGAGTTTTCAGTATCGAGAAGATTGAACGGCGCTGCATATTTTGCCGGAGTTTGACTCAGCATCGGGTTTTCGCTGAATCGACTCGGTACCCAGTTGAATCTTCATCAGTATTTGAACATTTCTCTGTTTTTAGCTTGAAATTCGAGGTGGGTTTTTGTAACTTGGGCGTTCAGTGTAATGTTGGTTTTCCGTGGGTGTTCGCCGGAGCTCAGGTGAGTTCAGAAGAGAGCTCCGGCGATTGATGTGTAGATTGAGGAAAACATAATGTGGGATTGAGGTAAAATAGTGAAAAATGTTCAAGTCGGCGCGATGGAGGAGCGAGAAGAACAAGGTCAGAGTTGTATTCAGATTGCAGTTTCATGCAACTCAGGTACCTTCATCTCTTTCACAGGCATATAATCATTTACATTGTGATGAAGACTAATGTATGTAATTAATTTAATTATGGTGATTATGTGTCGATTTTTTTTAAAAATAAATATTAATTGTTGAATTTCGCTAATTGATCAAGATTTTGTGTTTCACTAATCTTAACAATGTGGTTCTGTTTGGGTTTTTCTTTATTACAGCATTTAAGAGACTTAAATTTTCCAATTTTGCTGATAAGAGTGAAACAAGTAATAAGTTATTTGTGAATGCAGCTGTCACAGTTGGGAGGGGATGCATTGATGGTATCTGTGGTTCCTGCTGATGTTGGAAAACCGAGTGTAAAATCGGAGAAGGCAATAGTCCGAGATGGGGTTTGTTTATGGGAGAATCCGGTATATGAAACCGTGAAGCTCAATAGAGATTCAAAATCAGGGAAGATTCATGAGAAGATATACTACTTTATCTTGGGGACGGTATAAAATGATCTAAGCCTATGAGCTTTTATTCTTTGCTTTGCTGCCAATCGATTGTCTTGTGTTAATTCTTTTATACTGAAACTCACAGGGTTCATCTAAAGCTGGGGTTGTTGGAGAAGCTTCGGTTGATTTTTCAATTTATGCTGAGGCAGCTAAGGTCTCTGTGTCTTTACCCCTCAAGAATTCAAAATCAGAGGCTATGTTGCATGTAAATCTCTCTCTCTCTCTCTCTCTCGCCTTTGAATGTGTAATGTTATGATAGGGTAATTCATTGATGGATTCCTTATTCGAATTATGTATATTGACAGGTTTCGATCCAAAGGATACAGGACTCTGCTGATCAAAGGTTCTGATGAATGCCATACCATTATTTTGTGCCTCCCACCCCGGCTTTCCGTTTTCATATCTTCATGTGTTGTTAAACTGAGATTGAAAAATATTTTTTTGGCATCCATACAGAGAGGTTGAAGAAAGTGAGGATGCAAAATTGAACTCCCAAGACAGGAGCTTGAGGGCACAGTTAAGCCATGGCGACATAGATGAGACCATTAGACACAATTCTATTGAAGTAATTTTTCACTTCCTTCGCTTTAATGCACAGTTATTAAAATACATAGTGGATTATAAGGACGTAAAACATCTTATCACCTTCTATGCATCTGGATCATATCTCCCTCTAGTACAAGAAATGAAAAACTTGCGATCCTTTTTATGCGACTTTACTAGAATGTTGATGATAATTCAGTCCATGTGGTCTATCTGGTTTTGACAGGATGTACCTTTCAATAAAACTGTTTCCCACATGAATGGCAACCGCAGAGTATCTAGTGGATCTGATATCACTATGTCGAGTTCTGAGAGCAGCTCGGGACTCGAGACACCTTGGGAACCCCAGAGGAAGAATTCCGATCACGAGCCTAGCAGACATCCATCGTCTCTGAGCCATTACTCGGGGACTCAGCAGCCAAAACCCGATGCACCAACAGCAATGTATGACGAGCATCAAACGGCACAATGGGAGTGTCTCGGGAGTTCTGCCTTTGAACCAAGTACTGATGGTACTTCAAGCACTCCGAGAGAAATCATTATTCGGGAACACTCCCAGGAGGCTTCAGATATTGTGATTGAGAAACTCAAATCTGAGCTTGCTGCTTTATCCAGGCAGGTAGAGATGTCGGAATTAGAACTGCAGACTCTTCGTAAGCAGATTGTGAAAGAGAACAGAAGGGGGAAAGATCTCTCGAGAGAAATTGCTTCCTTGAAAGAGGAAAGAGACGTGCTCAAGGAAGAATGTGAAAAACTTAAAGCCTTCCTGAGACGTTTAGATGAAGCAAAAAATGAAACCAATTTGCCCTTTGAGGGAGTAGATCCTCAGGCACTTGCTGAAGAACTCAGACAAGAACTAAATTATGCAAATGACCTTAATGCCAATCTTCAGATTCAACTTCAGAAGACTCAAGAATCAAACTCGAAATTAATTCTTACCGTGCAAGACCTAGATGAGATGTTGGAACAAAAAAATCAGGAAATATTATCCCTTACCAGCAAAACAGGGACGATTAACATTGATGTAAAGTTACGGGAAGCAAACTCCAAGTGTCAAACAGATGACGACGACGACGATGAACAACAAAAAGCATTGGAGGAGCTCGTGAGGGAGCATAATGATGCCAAGGAAGTGTACCTTCTTGAACAACAGATCATTGACCTCCATAGTGAAATAGAGATATACAAGAGAGACAAAGATGAACTCGAGATGCAAATGGAGCAGCTAGCCCTCGACTATGAGATCATGAAGCAGGAAAATCACGACATGTCATACAAACTGGAGCAAAGCCAGCTACAGGAACAACTGAAGATTCAGTATGAATGCTCGTCCACATATGCCTCTTCACGTGAACTTGAAAGCCAAATTGAAAGTCTGGAGAATGAACTGAAGAAGAAGTCAGAGGAATTTTCTGATTCATTGGTCACAATAAGTGAACTTGAAGCCCATGTTGAAAGCCTGGAGAATGAACTGATGAAGCAATCAAAAGAATCCTCGGATTCATTGGTTACAATAAGTGGACTTGAGGCCCATATTAGAAACCTGGAGCATGAACTGAAGAAGCAATCAAAAGAATTCTCAAATTCATTGGTCACCATAAGTGAACTTGAAGCTCATGTCAAGAATTTAGAGGAAGAACTCGAAAAGCAGGCAACAGCATTTGAAGCTGATCTGGAAGCTCTTACTCTTTCCAAAGTTGAGCAGGAGCAGAGAGCAATACGAGCTGAAGAAACATTGAGAAAGATGCGGTGGCAAAATGCTAATACAGCAGAGCGGCTTCAGGAGGAATTTAGAAGTCTTTCTGTTCAGATGGCTTCTACTTTTGAAGCAAATGAGAAATTAGCCAATAATGCACTGGTTGAAGCACATGAGCTCCGCATACAGAAAATCCGCCTGGAAGAAATGCTCCAAGAAGCTTCTGAGGAACACCTGTCTGTTAAGGATCGGTATGAAGCTAGATTGCAACAACTTTCCAGTCAAGTGACATCGATGATAAATCAAATACAACAGATGGAGTCAGAAATTGAAGACAAAACACTGCAGCTTGAACACCAGAAAAAGCATGCTGATGAAACTCAAAAGCTCCTCTCTGAAGAAATTCAAATGCTTAAAACTGAGGTTGAAACATATGTAAAAGAGCAAAAAATCCTCTCAGAGCAGGCAGGATGTAAGGAAATTTTGACTGAAGAGCTGGAACAAATGAGAGAAACAATTAAGGAGTTGGAATTGCTTTTAGATGACGGGAACAACGAAAGAATTGAACTGGAGAACAAGGTTGATTTTGTAAAGAAGGAAGCTGAGGAGATGCAGAAGGAATTAAATGAAATGAGATGTAGTGCTAATGAAAAGGAATCGCTGGTCTGGAATCTGCATTCAGAGATAGACACACTTAAAGCTCAGTATAAAGAGTTGAAGCATTGTCAATTGGAGGATGAGTTGGAAAAAGAGAAACTAAGGAAGCAAGTGTTTCAATTAAAAAGCGATCTTAAGAAGAAGGAAGATGCATTCAGTAGTTTGGAGAAAAAGATAAAGGAAAGTAATGAGCAAGCAACAACTTTTGACGGAGCAAAAGCAACTTCTAAAACTAGCAAATCTATGCCTCCTCTTCTTGGCTCCAAAGAGGTCACCAATCTGAAGGAGAAAATAAGATTGCTCGAGGTAAATCTACACCTTGATTTTTCATTGAATGCCAAAGTAAGAGATTTTTCCTAGTATTATCATATACGGAGAAAATCCCTCGTGATGGGCATTTCTTATTTCTGATATTTTGAACGTTGCATCATTTTCAGAATGTTTTGTTTTGAAGATATTTTATCCTTTTACTTTCCTAGAACTGTTATACTTGAATATTTCACCACTAACAATAGTAAGTTGGAAAGATGCCTTTGGATTTGCTATGCTGATGCCGTTTTCGGTACTCAACAGGGTCAGATCAAGTTAAAGGAAACTGCACTGGAGAGGTCGACTAATTCATTTTTAGAGAAGGAAAAGGATCTTCATAACAAAATTGAAGAGCTACAGGGAAGACTTGAAGTTCTAAACCAAAGCAGTTTCAATTTTTGTCAAAACGAATTCCAAAAGGTTAGTATTGTTGCCATTCACATTTTGCATCGAGATTAGACATTTTTATCAATATGTTTCCTAGTATTAGTTATGCATATTCAGTTGCAGTATTTCTTGTTGATATTTACTCAATCCTTTTCATTGTAAACATAATCTATGTCAACTTATTTTCTCAGTGTCAAGTTTGGTCTCAAACGATCCAGTCTGCTTTACATTTGCTTTAGATGCCTTGCAACCACTCGTTTAATGCAATTTGGCAATAATTCATTGTGGGATGCAGGTAACTGAAAAAGTAATAAATGCAGAAGATGATACCAGGACGATGACCAGCATATCCAATATAAACAGCTCTTTGACAGTATCGCAAAAGAAGTATGACTTGGAAATAAATAAGTTCAATACTTTTGAAACATGGCACAATAAATCATGTCAACGCGTTTGCTCTTGCAGTGACGATCTGACCATCTTGGACGAACTGAAAGCCTCTTCAAATAATAGTCAAGACCTCGAGGAATCATTAAGTTTAATTTCTTTTCTGAAGGAGAAGAACAAATCAATGGAAGGTGAACTGAAAGAAATGCAGGAGAGATATTCAGAAATAAGTCTCAAATTTGCAGAGGTCGAGGGCGAACGACAACAGCTCGTAATGACATTACGCAATCTTAAGAATGCAAAGAAGAGCTCGTAGCCACTCCCCAAACTGATAATCAGCAAACGTTATATGGGTAAATTAACCTGGAACTTCTGCTACTTTGAATCTACTTTTGACAGTCACTTCCAAGTGTTTTGAAAATAAAAAAATTTGTAAATTCGTGAAATACGCATCCTCTTCTTTGCATATATTATTTAATTTCTTCATTGAATGTAATTCAAAATTTCGAGTTAGTTTCGTGTAGGTAGATCATATGCCTTGGTACTGATTCATTTTTTCCTGGGAAAAGTTGCTGTAATGTTTGTTAAAAGTGAGTGATGAAGTTTTGATTTTAGATATATGCAGTACATTCAATATTGTTCAAATCAAATCATTCAGAAAAATGTGAAATTAAGGACAAGACTCTGAGTGAGTGAGTGTGTGTGTGTGTGTTGATACTGCAGTTCAGGCTTAATGTAATGTACAGTTAAGAACAATATCCTAACTTTTGATTAGTGTGTGGCTGTGTGTTTGTGTTACCTTTTCAAAAAATTACACATGTAATGAGGATTAGATACATTGTAACAATATTAATAGAGTAAGTTATAATAATTTTAAAAAATTACATTTTTTGTCGCAGTATTTAACAGTGTGTAAGTTATTACCGTTATAAAAAAAGTAATAATAAAAAATAAAAACATAAAATTACATACACTGTAGTTCTTCAAAAAGTTACTGGTCAAAAGATGAAATAAATTTTAATTGCCAGATTTTTCTAGTTGAAGCTGTATTTTTTGCAAAATTTAACAGGAAAACAATATTTTTCAATTCATATCATATTTTATAACTATTGTATAAATTGTTCTTTATTTTGTATAAATGAGTGGGAAGAGCATGTTAAATCAGCAACTATTATAAAACTTTAACTAATTAGAGCATAAAATAATTTTATTATTCATATTTTTTGCCATTGTTTGGGATTTTTTTTTGGGGGGGCTAAAAGTTCATTTTCAAAATTAAATATAAATCTTAGGCCCTGTTTGATACTCCTTAAATTCCGTGGAACTTTAACCTTGTTTGTTAGCAAAAATTTACTATGGAACTGGTTTTCCAAGATTCCTTCACACGTGCACATTTTCTTTAAAATAGGCGAATTGGTTTTCTCACCATTTTGGTGGGAAATAGAATTCTAGCTTTTTTTCTTTGCAATGGAAACAAATTTCATAACCAATTGTAAAAAAAAAAATTCACTTTAATTGACAATTTTCATGTAAAATAAAGTCAAACGAATACTAAACTTTGATAAAAAAATGATTTTCTAGGAATTTTTTGTTTTTGTTTTTACTTTTTGACAATGGAAACAAATTTTATAACCAATTGTGGAAAAAAATTATCACTTTAATGGACAATTTTCATATAAAACAAAGTCAAACGACAAAAAATTTAAAAATTTTCCGGGTGGAAAATTATATCAATCAAACACACTTAATTAACAATTCTCTGTAAAACAATTTCTAGACAATTACTTTCCCTAAAATTCATTTTCTTTCCACCCATTTTCCACAATTGCAATCAAACGGATCCTTAGAGAAAATTGCAGTCACGATACCAAACCTTTCTTTTAATAGCAGACGTTGCTCAAACCTTTCATTTGTATCACCCATTGTACTAAACATTTCAAAATGTCGCAGTTGAAGTCCAAATAGAAAGAAAATGTTAGTTTGATCGTTAGTTGACCAAAAAATTAACATTGACAATAATTTTGACTAATTTTAAAAGGATAAAATGGTAACTTTACATTTTGTCAATAAAAAACACAATTATAATATATTAATAATTAAATTTAAAAAGCCACAAAAATCAAACACAAAATTCACTACCCACCACCTTCACTTTCTTCCCCAACTTATGTTAGGAATATTGAGCCTAACTCCACCTAAAAAAATTCGGTTTATTAGGAGAGAATTGCCCTCACCTTATTAAGTGGATTATTTATATTTTTCCAAGCAATGTGGGATTCTAATACGCCCCCTCACGCACAGCGTGGACCATGCCAAACAACTGTGAACAAATCAATATTGGGTGGCACCCAACATTTCATAATTGGGCCTACCTCTGATACCATGATAAAATCAAGGAAAGAAAGGAAGTAGAAAACAAACTGAAAATAAAAGAGGATGAAAACATGATAGGCCTGCTGGTTGCAGGGAATTAGATGAACTCTGAAGCTGAAAATAATGGAACGAAAATAAAAAATGCCGGAAGAAAAAATAAAGGGATAGAAACCGGATGATAGGCCTGCTATGATGCAGGGAAGATGAAGAACAATTCATTCATTCGTGCTCAAGGAAATTACAATGCAACTAGTCTATATATAAAGGAAATAGCTAACCACTTATCTAACAAACTAACAATATAACAAACAAATGAAGGAACTAGAAGAAACTAGAATAAGCTAGAATCTGAAGCTGGAAGAATAAGCTGAATTCTGTTGTGTTGTTGCTGAATATTCACGTGCAGGAGGTAAGCTGAAGAACTAGTACTGACCACGTGAACTGAAGGCTGGTTTACTGATGAACTGCTGGTTTGTTGCTGGTAAACTGGTGATCAATTGAATATTCCAACACTCCCCCCTCAAGATGGAACATCTTGAACCATAGAGGAAGAGAGTAGAGATGCAATCAAGGAGCATCTTGTTTCGAATCATCTTCAATTTTCTTCAATTCCATTTGTGGTTTAAAGCTCCATTTTGAGCTACTTTTCTCGTTAATCTTCCTTCTCTTTTGAGAAGGAAATCTTCAAAATCTTTCTTCATATCTTCATTCTGAACATAAAATCAATCCGAAGATCTGAGAAGCTGCCATCCTAGCAGGTTCGATCTTTAATTCCATTTCAATTTCGGTTTATCTTCCTTCTTCCTTTGAGAAGAAATATGTTCAGAAAATTCTTCAGAGAAGCCTGCCATTCCACAGGTTCTATCTTCAATTTCATTTCAATTTCGATGAAGAGGAACAACATCTCTTCAATTTTCATTCATTCCGACATTTCGTCGAACATTTAGTGAACCAAGTCATGTTTTCTGTTTTCTGGTAATGTGATTTTCTGATTTCGATTTTTTTTTTTTTTTGATTGAATTGAGAAAAGATAAAGAAGAAGATGAATTTCAAATGCAAGGATCTAGACCTGCTTTGATACCATGTTAGGAATATTGGGTCTAACTCCACCTAATAAAACCGACTTATTAGGAGAGGATTGCCCTCACCTTATTAAGTGGATTATTTATATTTTCCCAAATAATGTGGGATTCTAATAACTTACCCCAAAACCACTAGTGGCAGCGGTCGACACCACTGCCACCCGCCGACATCATTGCTCCTTCCACCCACATTCCAAGAACCATCCATTAATGGAATACGGACTCTAAACTTGCACGCATTTGAATCATTTCCTATCAAAATACCTAACCCACGATAGAAATCTCACTCTAAATTCGTACAAGGAATTGAGTAGAAAAGAAACACTGGGCATCTGGTTCTCTTCTGATATTCTACAGTTTATTTGGCATCCACATTCTGCCACAGCAGATGAATTTGGTGCCTTTGAGTTCACTGTAACTCAATCTGGAATTGCTTATTGTGATAAAGTTACTAGGTCCGGTCCTGAGTTTGCTAATGGGTAATTGATTAAGGCAACTGAACTGTCATTTTTTGGTGTAGCCAAGAGTCTGCAACGGGTGGAGGAGATGGAGGCGGATTTGGGGAGGAGATAGAGACCTAAGCTATAATTTGTGGTAGATTCAATTCCCTAGATATACCGACAGTGTTACAGGTGGTTCCTAGCTTCTTCTCCGAGCAAATTCCATTTTCTTTCTTCTCAGCTTTTGGCCGGAACTATGGCTTCGCCGATTGCCAAGCTCGGGCTTCTATCGATGGACAATAATATCGTGGAAGAGAAAGAACAGGCTGAAGATTTGGGTGGGTGCTGTAGCGTCAGCCGCTGGTAGTGGTAATGGTTTTGGGTGGAGTGTAAGGGATTAGTGGAGAAGAAGATGAATAGTGTTTGTGTTTTTTTTTTAATTTAATTGTTCATATATTATAATTGTATTTTTTGTTGCAAAATGTAAAGTTACCATTTTATCCTTTTAGAATTAGTCAAAATTATGGTCAATATTAATTATTTGATCAACTAACGGTCAGACTAACAGTTTCCTTCAATTTGGATTTTACCTACGACATTTTGAAAGATATGGTACCGTATGTGACACAAATGAAAGATTTGTATAAAGTCTGCTATTAAATGAAATGTTTAGTACCGTGACTGCATTTTTTCCTAAATCTTAATCACGCGTCTTTAAAATTCATAAGTACTATTCATTTATCTACCACTTATTTCAATAATAAGATTCTGATCATATTATATATTAAAAGCACATAAATGTCGACATGCATGCACACATGTTATTATTTTGTCATAATTCTCGATGTATGCTTGAAACACAGTATTGAAAACAATTAACATTTGCTAGAAGATAACCTTGGCAGTCGATAATCTTGAACGCTTATTTTCTTGGAAATCCTATTATCATGTAACAACTTTTTGTAATTTGATCAGGACTCTTCAATGTCACACATCAAATTATGTATCCGTTTAAAACCTTGCAATGACATTATTACCGTATATAAATGTCGATAAGCATGCACACACGCACATTTATCACCATTTTATTCATAATTCTTGATGTATGCTTGACATACAGTGTTAAACACAACTGACATTTGCTAGAAGTGCCTTGATAATAGATAATAATGAACGTTGATTTTCTTGGAAATCTTATTATCACGTAACAACTTTCCGTAGTTTGATTAGTACTCTTCGATGTCACATAACAAGGCATGTCTCTATTGAAAACCTTGCAATTTCCTTTCACTTGGAACCATTGTTTTTTCTTGCTAACCGCAAAATCAATACATCTATATCCTTCCCAACATTGCGGAAAGGCACAAATTTCATAATGAAATTGATCAGGACTCTTCAATGTCACATATCAAATTATGTATCGGTTTAAAACCTTGCAATGACATTATACGCGTATATAAATGTCGATATGCATGCACACACGCACATTTGTCACCATTTTATTGATAATTCTTGATGTATGCTTGACATACAGTGTTAAACACAACTGACATTTGCTAGAAGTGCCTTGATAATAGATAATAATGAACGTTGATTTTCTTGGAAATCTTATTATCACGTAACAACTTTCTGTAGTTTGATTAGTACTCTTCGATGTCAGTTAAAATAACAGATTTTGAAGAATATAAAACTCAGATAATGAGCTGAATTATGATGAAGTATATACTGCTTAATTGATACAAGTGAGGTGAAATATATATACAGCAATTTGAGTGAAGAGCAAGCTAGTAGGGGATGATAATCACGTGAAGAATAAAATCTGTTTCAACAATATGGTGGTCCCAGCAGTGCACAATAGCAGCTCATGATATCACCAACAACACACGTGCTTGCTTGATTTAGTTACAATGAGAAATAATCTTCACAATGTCACATAACAAGGCATGTCTCTATTGAAAACCTTGCAATTTCCTTTCACTTGGAACCATTGTTTTTTCTTGCTAATCGCAAAATCAATACATCTATATCCTTCCCAACATTGTGGAAAGGCACAAATTTCATAATGAACAATATTTGAATTTAGTATTTTTAGTAGTGTCGAGAAGGGATCTCAATCAATAGTACCTTATATATTTGGAGCATGATCTATTGAAATTTGGTTTAAAGAGAGAAAATTTTGGTCAAGTATGAAATCATGAAAAATGTGAAAAGTGACTTGTCAACTTCGGCCAAATATTTAGACTTGATCTGATAGTCAAATTATGAAAATAAATAGACTAACTTGTTTTACTCATCAAATGGAACGTCATGGTATATTTGAAATATCAAAATCAATTCCGGATGACTGAGAAATTGTGGTCCAAAGTCTTAGGAAAAATCGAATTTTCTACACCTAAGACTGTTGCTCGAGCAACAACCCAGCTCCGGTAATTGACAGACTCTTTGCTTTTAGAGTTCGAGCGACACACGGACAATAGGCGAACGACGGCAAAGACTGCGACCTTTTGCAATGGTTGTTGAGTTTTGGGTGTGTTTTTTCACTCACAACCTTCCCTCATCTATAAATAAGACCTTTTTGACATCCTTTAACTCATCCCAATGGAAGAGTGAGAAAATAATAGGGTATCATCGATAGCATTGGATGCTTGGAAACATTCAAACTTTGTGTGCAAGAATAAATATTGAATGGGTTGGACAACACATTGTATAATGTGTATAGTTCCATGAAATCTACAAAGAAACTATGAGAATTCTTGAAAAACAAATACAAGACTGAAAACACTGAAACTAAGAAGTTCATCGTGAGAAAGTTCTTGGACTACAAAATGGTATATACAAAAACGGTCATCAGTCAAGTACAAGAATTACTGGTTCTTCTCCATGATATTCACGTTGAGAATATATCTCTAAATAAATTATTCCAAGTGGCTACAGTTATCGAGAAACTTTCACCCATGTAGAAGAACTTCAAGAATTATCTCAAATATAAGCACGAGGAAATGAATATTGTCGAACTCATTGTCCGATTGAGAATGGAAGAAGATAACCGAAAGTCGAACAAACGTGTTGGAAGTCATGTATCACAAGAAAAGTCTAATGTGGTGAAATCAAATGAAAAGAACAAGAAGAGGAAGCACTCGGTTGAGTCCTTCGAGCAAGGAAGAAACAATAATGAAAAAAGTTCAAGGGCAATTGCTATAATTGTGGAATGCTGGACTTCACTCTATCGATTATTGTAAACCTAAGAAGCAAGTTCAAGCGAATATTACCAAATTTGATGGCATATTTGATGATATATCAGATTTAAACTTGTTGGTTGGCATCTCAAAATGCAATAACGTTGGAAATGCCATGGAATGATGGGTGGATAAGGGTGCTACCCATCATATTTGTGCTGATAAAGGAATGTTCTCATCCTACACTCCAACTGATGGCGAGAAAATGTTCATGGGAAACTTTTCGAGTTCAACATTTGAAGGACAAGGCAAAGTGATATTGAAGATGACAAAGAAGTTAATTCAAAATTGAAATAGTAGGTGTGGTGCTCCCTTCATAATTAAAGTAAATTCAAGTGTAAGAAATTATCTATACATGAAGTAGAGTAACAATTGGTCTCCTTGTCCCATCAGTGTGTATATATATAGGCAAAGTCTATGTAAAAGATGGATTATTCAAGATGAATGTACTTACTATTATACCGAATAACTCAATGAATAAAATATATTTTATTTATATTCTTGAGTCATCTAATTTATGGCATCATAGATAATGATTTGCGAACTTTAATTTTGTAAGCAAAGTAAATGAATTTAAATTTACTACTACTTATGCATTTTAATACAAATGGAAAATGCGAGATTTGTGTAGAGACTAAGTTAGCCAAATCGTCGTTTCATTCGGTTGAATGAAGTACAATACCTTTGGAATTTATTCACACCAATACATGTTATTTAAAGTTTGTCCAAACAAAAAGTGGTAAAAATTATTTCATCACATTCATAGATAATTATACAAGATACTGTTATTTATACTTGTTGAAAACAAAGATTAAGCTTTAGAAGTGTTTAAGTACTATAACATTGAAGTTGAAAATCAACTTGAAAAATGATTAAAAATAATTACTAGTGATTGATGTGAGAATATTTTGCACTGTTTGAAAATTTTTGTTTAAAATCTAGAATCATTCATCAAACAACGGCATCATACCCACTTCAATCTAACAGTGTTGCCGAATGCAAAAATCGAACACTTACAGAAATTAGTCGTTTGCAATTATTGTTGACTGACTTGATCGTCAGAGTATTGGTGGCTGCTACAACCACCGTCGAAAATGGCCGACGATTTGTGTTAAGTGTGCATGGAAGAGCATACGTGAGTTGCTTTCTATAGGCCACGTGGAGATCCATTTCCGAAGGTCAACAGAGCTAATCTATAAATCACAATCTCATAATTATTTTTAACGCTCCTGATGGGACAAGGAGACCAATTGTTACTCTGCTGCATGTATAGATAATTTCTTACACTTGAATTTACTTTAATTATGAAGGGAGCACCCCACCTACTATTTCAATTTTGAATTAACTTCTTTGTCAACAAAGGAGAACAAGAAGACTAAGGCCATGTTTGATTGACAAGATTTTCCATGGAAATTTTTAAAAGTCCAAGCAAAAATCGATTAAGAAATGAGAAATATATGGATATATTGATGTAAGACTAAGAGCTTGTTTGGGAGAGATTTTTGGGGGAAGAATTGATTTTGAATAGTGATATAATGTGAAATGTGTGGTTGAAAAAGAAAAAAAAATTATTGATGTAATGAAAAATATTATTTTATTGAAGAATATGTGGTTAAAAATGAGAATTGATTTACTGTAGAAAAATCAAAATCACTCCCAAACAGGGCCTAAGTTCCTGTTTGGGAGTTTTGTCGTATCAATTATGCGCATTTTTTAAAGTATTGATTTTGAGTGATTTTAGTAGCAGTTATTAAAAACTGTTCAACCTATTCTTGAGAGTTTATTATCCACCAATTTTGAAAATTCTTTAAAAGAATAAAATTACGTATATATCTCTTACTAAAATTTTCATTTATATGATTTTTTTTACTCAGTAATGATATTTTACTTATAGATAATTTTTTACGTATAAGTTAATATTAATTTTAAAAAATTAATTAAATTTATATTTTTACTTATAAGTAAATTTTATAATTTTAAATGACTTTTAAGTGAATATTTTTACTTATAAGTAACTTTTTTTATATTTTATAATTGAATTTTTGTCTTCTTAGTAGTATTTTTATT